GCTTAATGCGATTTAAATCTTTTATATACGTAAATCGCATTTTTCTTCATTTCGTGAATCGAGCTCCCTTCAAATTCATTTTCATTTTATGTATGATGTCTCCTATTTCACATTAATTGTATGAAGAATAATAGGATGTTGCAAGAAATAGCTTTAAAAAAACTATCTTGATATTGCATTATTTATTATTTTGAAACTGATGTTTCTCTATACAGAAAAACTGTTGCCAAAATAAAATTCATGATTATCAGCTGTTTGGAAAAAAAAGCGTCTGAAATGATTCAAATTTTAACGTCGCAGCAGAGGGTTTGTTAAAGCTTTTTGTGCTGTCGCTGAGCTCGTTGTTTACTAGTCTACTCTTGGACTCACTCCAGCTAACTTTTTTTTTCCCCTGTCTTTCCTTTAATATTGCTTTCTTCGCACTTATGCCATATAAAATTCAACATCAACATCACAAAATATTTAATAGCAGCCTACCTTTAGAATTCTCGGTAAAATGCAAAGTACAGCATACTGTTGCGAGTGTATGGGTTCGTAATGGATTGAATGCATAAGTCCGATAAAAAGTTAATAAAATTTATTCTTGTCACAAGAAATGGAACAAAACGCTAGATGTTTCCTCAAAAATATTCGTACAGTATCACACAACATCACACAGTAGCTATATTTTATACTTCTAAAACGTTAAATAGAACGCAATCTAAAGCGCAGAGAAAGCTAATCCAATCTCAAAATACAGCAGCTAAGTAAACAACAAGAACAAAGCAAACAACTGAACTGTGTTTCTCTCCGGCTTTTATAGCTTTTTAAATCGGCCACGCGAGATAGGTCTAGCAATTTCCAGAAAGCAAAAAGAGTGGGATTACGGTTACAGCTAACACACTAGTTAATTATTGCGTCCCAAAGCAATTTTAATATACTTTCTCTGTGGTGAAGGTATTCAAATAGGAGGTAAGTAAAACAGCTCTTACCTGAGTCATTGGGATACGCCAGTAGTTTATTTTTGGATTATCTAAAATGTTCTAGGAAACTGTTAATACAATATAAAACATCAAGAGTTCAGAATCAGTTTTTCAATTATATTTAATCTGTGCGCAAGTTTTACAAAATGTTATAGCAAACATCAAAACTGGACATGCATTTTCTTAAACACTTATAAACTAACAAAAAGAACATAGGTTACACCAGATCTCCTCGAGCGGGGGCTGAAAACTTGCATAATCTTTTCCGTTCAGTTCACTCCGTTATGCGCGTGCATGAGAAAAACAGAATTCAAAGGTGGAAACATCACGCATCGCAACATACTCCTACCTTTGAGATTCGAACTAGGGAATCTCAAACCCTAATTCTAGGTTTAATTAATTGTCCATACCTGTATCTTTTCACAGGAACAGTGTTTGGAAAAAAATCATTAATAGTTATTTGCTTAGAAAGAGTTATCTTTTGTGCTAGTACTGGCTTGTTAGAAGCGGTCTCTGAAAGACGATCTTCAACAGTCTTCGGCTCATTGGGAATAGAATCCTGTTCGGCTACAGGTGTAACAGGGTCACTTTTATCAGTCACTTCAAGAGGTATTAACCTAAGCATTGGGCGGAGAAATTTTCCGGTTTTCATTTTTATTTTTACCAGACGAACTTGCCCATCTTTAGAAGGATCGATCACCCTGGCCAGAGACCATTCAGTTTTCTTGACGTTGTCATTAGAAACCAGAACAATATTACCAATTTGGATGGATTTCTGATTTTCAATAGATTTCGATAATTGGCGTAAATGGCCCAAATACTCAGTACGAAATCGTTTTCGTAACTCTTGTTTCACACGTTGTCGGTAAATATGCCTTTTTTTTAGAGACGACGAATCCAGAACATCAAGATCTGGGATTCCTGCTTCTTTAGAGTCATTCAAAAACATGTTAAGTGGAGTTAAATCATCAGCATCTTCTGAAATATTGTGTCAAGGTTGCTGATTAATCACACGTTCAATGTCACAAATAACGGTGTTCATTTCTTCTAAATTTAGTGAACTTCTTCCCAGAACCTTTCGTAGAAGTCCTTTTATTATACCTATCAAATGTTTCCACCACCTACCCCAGCATAGGGCAGATGGGGGGTTAAATTTCCAAATGATATTTTGAAATCCGCTATATTGGGAAATGACTTCCCAATCAATTTTTTTTTCAGCAAATTCTGAGCTCCTGAAAAATTAGAACTATTGTCATAGTAAAAATTGGAAGGTCGACCTCTTCGAGAGATGAAACGTCTAAAAGTTTTTAAAAAAATGGCCTGTCGATAAAGATGTAGTCAACTCCAGATGTACAACTCAGTAAAAGGCACAGGTAAATATAACAATCCAAGCTTTCTGGCCATTTCTTAAGATTAATGGGCCAGCGTAATCCATTCCTGAGACTTCGAAAACAGCTTCCTTTATGCTATCTTCTAGGAGATAACCTTCGATGATCGGTTTAAGCAGCAAATTAAATCGTTTACATCTTAAACAGGTCTGTTTTCTTGCATTTAAGAATCTAAAATTCTTCTCTTAAGCCCCGATGCTTAAGCTTTTCCGCTACGATGGTCCTTTCCACCTTCCAGATATTCTAAATGTTTCGGTATCAAACCCCCGTGATTTAAGATCTGCTGGATTCAATGGACCTTTGACGTGATGCAGTCTTCAAGATTTGTCATGAAGCAAATTTCTTGCATTCGGTTAAAAACAGAGAGCCCAATTTTCGTTTTCCATGATACAATACAAAGCGTTGGCCGAGTCAGCACAGAAGGTCATTAGTCACACTCTGAGGTAATCTAGCTCCAATCTTGCAGGAGAGAAGTTCCATCCTCGGTTAGAAATAAATTTCATCGGTACAACTCTACACCGTACCTGAGCAAGTTGACAGGTCGTTGAAGTTTCGGTCTCACTTCGTAAGAAAACGCAGGTAGCATAATACATGCAATGTTAGACTTCTTGGTACTTCGCAAATGGGAATAAGACATCAAGAAATTTCTATTTCTTTCAGCTTAGAAAGTTCCTGTCTCTACTTCTCAAACATTTTTGCAATTGTGGTATAGTAAGTTCGGTGACTGGAAAAATGCCCACAGGAAGAAATCCCAGAGGAAATATGCTCATAGAATAATTCTCACAGGTATAAATGTGCACAGCAAAAAAGCCCACAGAGAAATATGCCCACATAGTAAAAAGCTCACATGGACAAATGTTCACTTAGAAATATGCTCACTCGAAAAAAAGCTCAAATAGATATATATGCTCACATGAAAATACGCCCACTGAGAAATAAGATACGTAGAAATATCCTTACATTAATTAATCAATAATTAATCGATTTGAACATCGCACACATACTTGAATTTTTCGAAGAAAAATTATTTAAATTACCAAAACATCTATGGTGTATATATATATATATATAATATATATATATATATATATATAAAATTTATTTACTAAAGAATATTGATTATATTATCTCCTAAGATTAATTTTAGTAGAATTATCTAAAAAGAGTGAATCCATAGTTAATAAGTTTAATTCCGAAAATTGTTTTAAAGTAACTTGAATGTAAATTGTTAAAAATGTTTAACGGGGACTTGAATTAAATCATGAATAACAAAATTTCAATTGTAAAAGGAAATTAAATTAAAAGCAAGTAATTAAATTAAATGCAAGTAATCATTGCCATTGATCGGAAATTAGTTGACTTTTCAAGGGAACAAACCAACTCCCATTCAATGAACAATAATTAAGAAATAAATACGAAGGTGTTTCGTCCTTTACTCAAGTAATAAGGCGATGCCAAACTGGCAATTTAAGTTAGGCCAAATAGTTCCGTTAATTGAAGGGATCAAGAACCAATGCACAGCACCAAAGAGCTCATTTTGATTAAGCATTTTCGCTAATTCAATTTTGAGTGAAAAGCAATTTATGCAGCAAAATTGATAAATTACTTGAGTAATTTAGTAATTTATCAATTTTACTTGAGTAATTTAGTAATTTTGGCGCAAATCTCGCCAAGCAAACTTTATTGGCGACAACATACAGTATAAACATTTAAAAAAAAAAAAAAAAATGTTTACAAATGTTAAGATTTTTTTATTTTGAAAGCATAACTATTTTAATATCGTTTAAAATTTTGTAAAAAGCCAATAAATAAAGACAATAAATTTGAAAGCACATTAAGAATTTACTATGCTTTCATGGTTCAACATCCTGATTCGCAGGTTCATATCACGTGATCCCAAGTGATTGGAATACAAATTTAAATGCAAGAATTATTTCAATTCGTACGAATAGCTTACACAGAAATTATGTAAAACCGCAGTGCTTTACCCTTGCTTTGGGTGAATTTAACCCTTGACTTTTCTATATTTTCGCCTTCGGGTGAGCAGTGTAATTGTACTCTAATTGATTTAATTACCGCGAATGGTCTTAGGCCATAAAATTCAACTATCTTGTAAAAAATTGTATGTAATTGTATGCCAGTAATGAAAGAAAAAATCAATCTGATAAGAAATGGCTGCGACTTGTTTTGAAAATGAGGCATAAAAGGTTAACAACGAGGATATTCCGTTTGGCATCAGTTGCATCAGTTGTACCATTATTGTGACTTTATCGCCTGCGCCGGCAAAACGGAAAAGTACCTTATTGGTTATTCAGGAAAATCAGAGCTAACTTTAATGAAAAAATATGCATCAAAAGCATTATAATTTATACTAAATGTTCTAAAATATTGTAACCATTTAAAAAAAACAGAACTTAAATTATAATTCTGTTCACAGACAAATGTATACAGTATGGTCATTGTTTTATTCTACATTATCCGTAACTAAATTTTGCTAAAATCTATATTTTTTTCCATATTAATCAGTGACACTTTTTGTAATATTTTAACGACCTTTTCGTCAAATTTTCGCAGAATGCATTCAACACTATGTAAATTATTTCAGTATCATGAAAGATTTAAAAATCCGTAACTGCAACTTTGATTATAAATTTATGGCGGTTTATTTTAGAATCTTACATTGTAATTATCAATGACATGTGGGCCGTGTGTTGTCTATTCTGCCTCTGATTTTTGAAATTAGAGAAGGAAAAAAATTCTGCAAGGTATAGATATCAAACTGCTTTAATTTTGAGTAGTGGAGAAATTTACTTCATATATACATAGAAATTTTCCGTTATTTCGTGCATTAAATACTAAAATATTTTTCAATCTCTTCTCTCTACTCTTCTGTTATTGTACATGTACTCCCGCTAACAAAGGTGAATTCTTTACGCAAGTTAAACATTTAGAATTTACTTATAAACCTTACAGCATCACTTTCTTTGCTTCCTTGTATATAAATTTTGTACTACAGCAAATATTGTTATTAAACGTTTATGATGAGCTTGAGCGGACATATCAAAGTTTGTAAAATACTATATAGAGTAAATATTGTATAGAGACAATATTATATAGAGTAAAAATTCATGGTTAACATCGTTAGGTAAGAAACTTCTAATAAACAAAGTTCACTTCCATAGCATTCATGTAAATGTAGATATAAAAGCAATAAACTTTAATTTGCGTGTCTAATAACTGTAATCGTGAATTTATTGGTGCATTTTAAACTATATGTTTCTGTATTTCAAGCTAATTTGAAATTATATATAAAATTATATATAACCAGTGTCTAATAAAATATGTAAACAAAATTCCTATTATATAAACGGTTACCATAAATGTAAACTGTAAACAAATGTTAATTGATCAAATTAATATTAAATTACTCGGTGGAATCTTTTAAGGGCTGCCAAGACTAATCTGTTTTTCAGATTATTAACAGCTGAAGTATGGTTTTATTGTCAAACCATTTAATTAAGGAATTATTAGTGCATCTCTTTCAAAAAGATGAGTTTTAAATATGTTATAATGGAAATGAAGTGAATTAATTCTCTTAGAACTCTTCTCTAAACAAACAGACATTAAATTTGTAAACCTACATGAAACTGTTTATGCTTATTGCTATAAATGTAGAATGGTTTGCAATGTACCATTTTGTTTCAGGCCGATAAAATACAAGATACTCGCTTTTTTTTTCAAAATTTCTAATTTCTTGTACCTTCAGCATAAAAAGTGTTTGCGATTTTTAACTCCCTGAGAGGGGGAGCTTTGTTGATTGATCTGCTCATGAAGACCTATATTTAACCATCATTTATTAGCTAATTGTACTTTTTTTAGCCTGTTTTCATAAACTTCTATCTATTAGGATGATATTTACATTATTATAAGAACGTGAAAACAAAATGCACTAAATTATAAGCCAATAGATACTCAAAGAAAAAAATTCTCATGACTGGATAAAACGTTGTTATGCCACTCAGAGGGTTAGTCATTGAAGATGTGGTGGGTTAAAGTGTATTTATGAGTACCCCTTGGTGAAAATTGGTGATTTTTAGCAGTACATGGATACCAAGTTTGTGCAATTCTTTGACTTGTTGCTTCGTGTAGCAGCAATTTTAGCACCAAAAATCTCTGCTATACAAAGACAAAATAACAAGTCAAAGAATTACACAACCTCAATATCCATGTACACATTGATCTATTTCACTTTAAAAAAATCATGGTTAATCTTTGGATTATGGTAACTTGGCGAAAATTTGGCGACCAACCCTGCTACAGCAACCTGCTAGTTTTTGTTTGGACGTCATTCTGTTTTCACGAAGTAAAGGCATGTTTTTTTTTTTAACTCAACATTTTTTTCCAACAATCTGCTAGCCGAATTATGCTTATGCTAGAACTTTTATGGAACAAAAGTGCTTAATCATGACGAAGATTAGGTGTGAAATTGGGAGAAAGTGCAGAATCGCAAACTGCTTGCCACGTTTTTTAGAATTGCACAAATGTCGCCAAACTACCCGTTACCATATTCCAAAGATTAGCCAAAATCACAGATTTGCACAAACTATGCATTGTGCACTCCCTTCACGTTATAAGTGTACACGTCAACCTATTTTCATGAAAAAAATATTAGAGAATTGCTTAAACTTGGCATTGTGCACTCCCTTGACTTTGTCCATGTACATATCAATATTTTCGCCTTAAAAAGTCAACAACAACTTGACGATAAATGGAACAACTTCTCGATAATATAAGGTGTACCCTTCAGTCTACTCTGGGGTTGTGTCCTGGCTTAAAAAATACTGGAGATTTTCAAAAGAACAATTATAAAACTTTAAAAAGAAAAGATGTGATATTTTTAGTGCAGTGGTCTTCAAAGTTTGTCGACTTTTAGGATACTTAGATTTGAGGTTTTTTTTGGGAAACCCCATCCCACCCTTAGGAAAATATATCTTAAAATAATATTTAAGGTAGATTGGTGTGTTATAGGTCTTTATTAAAAAACAAACAAAAGTAATTTTTATTAAAAAATTGTAACATAAAATTATGTAATTTACTCATTAATAGCATCGATGTGTGTTCCAGATGTCGGTTATTCTTGCCTTATATTTGGTGACATTTGTGCTTGCATCTTTTAACTAGCTAACTATCTATTCTGTCTAAGTCTAGCTGTATTGATTTTATTTGCATTTCATATTCTACATTGAACTTTTTTCTGTATATTGTTTTTGCTGCTACATACATTGAGAGAGATTTCTCACTTAAATTGTTCCGAGTGGTATTAAAATGCTTGTAGCTGTGTCAGAAACTCCTGGATATTTTGCATGGATCTACAACTAAAAATTTAGGAGCCACTTTGGTTAGAGTAGACTGAAGGGTACCCCTTGTATCATCGCGAAGTTTTTTTTTTCATTTATCGCCTAGTTGTTTCGTTTATCACATGGTAACCTTAACCGTTTCGTTTAAAATGTAGTATATTGAGATAATGTATTTTTTGTTTGCCTCTACTGTAGAATTGGGTGCTCCTTTGACTTTTTAAGTGAAAATAAGTCGATGTGTATATGGATACTGAGTTTGTGCAATTCGTTGACAAAATCACCGCTACACAAAGCCAAAATAACAAGTCAAAGAATTGCACAAACTTAATATCCATGCATCGCCAAGGAGTACCCGTAAATATACTTTTACCACTGCTTTTATTTGAATTTAGATTTTAACATCGAATCTGTTGATAATTTTTTCCCCTTTCCTTTACTGGCAAGCTTTCTGATTTACTACTGATAAGATTTTTGGTACTATTCGTTTTCGAGGGCCGTAAAAAATCGCCAAACTATTGTTGATGCCAATGCTGCCAAAAATAATTGCGACAAGAAAGGAAGTATAATAGTAAATAATTATTTAAGATTGATGTTTTAATTTAGATGAAAGGTTAATTTCATGTAATTATTTTTATTTATTATAATTTATATGAAAAAGGCTAAATGTGACTGAATGGAAACATAAGAGTCAATAACTATTTCAGATCATTATTATAATTTACATCAAAATTGCTAAACATAACTGAATGGATGCCTGCATGCTATTTCACTACCGACTTATCGCTAAAGCATAATTTCATCTCGTTGGTTGTTCAAACGTAATTTTCTATAACGAACGATGCCTTTTCTTTGAAAATATTCTCGGTAAAGTGCAGAATCACTTGCTTATTTGTGTGCCGCTTTTTATAGGGTTAAAAACAATTGGACTTTTGTCAATTTTCTTTTACTTTTTAAGTGAAAATAGGTCGATGTGTACACAGATCATGTCAAGGGTGTGTGCAGTGCCATTTTTGTGCAATTCTGGGATTTTTTTTTTTTTTTAAGGGAAAATAGGTCGATGTGCACATGGATACCGAATATGTGCAATTCTTAAAAATGTGTCAAGCAGTGGGTGATTCTGCACTTTACCAAATATTCCATTGCTGAGTTTTCGTCATGGGCAATTCCCAAATTGTTAAATCCATAGGATATCAAAAGAGGATTTAAAAATTAAACTAGTATTTCAGTGGCGTCTTAAGAAATATAGAACTATATAAACTTACACAATCTGAAATCAGCGCGTACGCTACATTTGGTATGCTGTTAAGTGGGCGCATTTGCTAGATTTGGTGCTTTTGCATGTACATTTTCACTGCAATTTTTTTACAGCCCTCGAAACCGAATAATACCAGATTTTTTATTTATTCGTGTTAGTTTTTTCGTCAAGGAAATATTATTTTATATCAGTTGAAAAAAGTGCTTCCTTCTTTAATTTTTAATGCTATTGTCTAAATGGTACTTTTCCGTTTTGCCGGCGCAAGCGATAAAATCGCCAATAATGGTACTATGGAGATTTCCGGTTATGTTTTTACCACCAATCCTCGAATTCCATATCACAGATTATGTTCTTACTGCATTAATATAATATTAACAAGACATAGTGCACAATAAAAATTAAGCTTTATTTAGGAACTTCGTGCACACTGCCCGACAGCCTGCCTGTTTCGCTCTGCTCGCTACTCGTAAGAAACTTCTCCTCTAGGGTTGCCACACTTATCGGAGGGCGCAAGGCGCGCTCCTTATCGCCATCACCACAGAGTTTCCCCCCAGTTCCTTTAATGGCTATTCAAGGAACGACATAGGTTATGAAATTATCTCAGAGTATCCGTACTGTCGGGTATTTTTACATGATTACAAAATTAGAATATAAAATTAGAAAAGATCAAAATGAAATTCAATATATAACAAGGTATTGACACATATAATAAACATGAAATAACAAGAAATATGTTAAGATATGAATTTAAAAAAAATGTTTTAAATTGTTATGTAAGAAGCAAGTTTCTTAGGGAAGTGAACATGTCTTCCCGATCTGGTGACAGTTTGTGTCTTAGAGAGTTCGTTTTCAGATTTATTCTGCTGAACTTTATTTGTTTTCAGTTCAGGCAAATTAGAGTCCGAAAGCAAATAGGCTGGTTTCACACGGTCTATAGACACAGTAGATTTCAGACCGTTAACATCAATTGTGAAAGTTTTGTCCGTTCTAGAAAGGACTTTATGCGGACCTGTGTTGGCACAGAGGTGGCTTTACTCGATCGACACGTAAGTATACATGCGTACACGACTTTAAGGTAGCACTTACGTAACATTTTTCTTGGCAATGTGCAGATGTTGCTATTGGATTCAACTGTTGCATTCTATGCCGAAGA